CAAAGTTGCAGGATACTTTCTATCCTGAAACTGATGAAGATCACCTCAAGCTTGAAAGTGTGTTAAGTGTGGTTTTACGCCGCTGTTAGCAAGATTCCAACAGTATCGTGGCGGGGGACACCAGAAATTGACTTTGCACACTGTACCCATGTGGGAAATTGAACGAGGGTCTTTGTCATGACAAGCGAACGCTTCAACCACTTGGCTACCCCACCGCCCCATGAGCTTGAGAGATTTTAGTTAATTATCATATAGATCCCAGACAAGCATAAGGCTGCAGTGTTAGTGTAATAGCTAACAGAGTATTTTTAAAGACTTGTGTAAATAACACAATGTTGTAGGTTGTCTTCTGTCAGCAAAATGATGTCGATATTTTGGACGTGAAATATTTCAAGTTATAATCGAAGATGGACTGGGTTACCTATCCTTGTCATATAAGGCAACAAAAGCTGATACTAGCTTAAAGGAATAGTATGTTGCATGGATTTATACCCCAAGAGCATTGGTTTGGTGAGCATTGGTTTGTCTGCTACAGACTTGATTATTTACACATTTCTGAAGTTTGGCATTAACAACAAACAAAATCCAAGTAGAAACGTTTTTCATGTTTTTACTACCCTGAATCATAAATCATGAAAAGCAATCAAATCAATAAAAAATAATCAAATCAATCAAATCAATGTTTGATGACTTGAACCAAACGTATGGATACTAACAATTGGTCCGAGAGTAGCCTCCCTTTAGGAATGGTATACTGTTCTGCACTCTTGTGTATGAAAGCACAATGCAAAGGTAAAACTCTTCAGATTTGATCCCCAGAAACCTATGCTGGTTATAAGAGAACTGCCTCCATGGTGTAGTGGTTAGAGTGTCCTCCCGGAGAGCGGAAGGTCGAGGGTTCGATCTTCGATGTAACCATATATGTATATGCATAACATATAGTGAGTGTTTTCAGTGAGTCTAAACTTTTGATGGGAAGTATATACAAAATTATTCACATGATTCATTTTTCAACTGTTATCCAAGTAGAAGTAAAGAATTAATTTATGCGGTTTTCAAGTTGGTAACATAAGGCGATAAAAAACAATGGTAATTTTGAGGACATCACTTGCCAGGCCACTGGCATATCAGTATTAATATTTAGGTTAAACAATTGTCATTGTGGTATTTTCTATTGATGTATTTCCTGTGTGAAATGTCAATCACTGCTTGAGATGCCTCCACTTATCTGTCAATCACTGTCACCCCAACTGGTAGCTTGACATGTAATACACAACACGACAAGGGGGGAGTTAGGGGAAGGGTGTCACTCTCCTGTGGGATGTATCCTGTCTGTCACAGTCAAGATTCTGAGGATTAATTTGATGTTTAAAATATTTAAAAGAATTGTATCAACACACAGCACAGAAGGGTCAGATTGATCGCTGTTGGTGTCACCATGATCTGATAATGTCTCTTCTTCAGCAACCCATGATTGTTGTAAGAGGATCAGGTTTTTGATGATATCATTGTATCTCTACTACATAGATCAATGCTTATGACGTCAACCACTCGATTAATAACTGCATGATTATTAACAAACTTTGGTCATATGGCTGGACTGACTGACTGACTGAGTTTGGTTTTACGCTGCTTTTAGCAATATTCCAGCAACATCATCGCGGGGGACACCAGAAATGGGCTTCACACATTGTACCCTTGTGGGGATTCGAACCCGGGTCTTCGGCGTGACGAGCCAACGCTTTAATCATTAGGCTACCCCACCGGCCCCATATGGCTGGAGTATTGTTGAATACAATACAAACAAGACAACAGTATAGCTGTGGTTGTGATCCCTACAAAAGTGTTATTTAGGCTGAAGGGGTTGTTGTCGGCACAGGTACTACAGATACGTACCCCAGGTACGTTTCTGTATACAGATATGTACCCTAAACAAAGTCAAAATACAGAAACGTACCCGGTACCCTAAAAGGCGGACGAGTCCATATTCCGCAATCCAAAACCGAAACCGTATGTAGTTGTTCCCGTTCAACTGATTCCGAGTGGTATTCATGTGCATCGCGAAATATCCGTTACTGTGTATTTTCAATACTTACATAACGCAATCAAATGTATCTAATACAACAGTATGACAGTTCCGGTCAAGAATACAACACAATGGGAATGGAATCATCCTAGGGTACGTTTCTGTATTCGCATTATGGCCAAGGTACGTTTCTGTATACAGAAACGTACCTGGGGTACATATCTGTAGTACCCGTGACAACACCAACCCCTTCAGCGTTATTTAGAAGTTGATGTAAAGTTGACAAGAAGCATTCAGGAATACATGTATTATTAGGAATAACAGCTTCTTTATCTTAGTATTTACTTCATTGTCTCCCAAGCTAGTCTGGTCCAGACTCGATTATTTACAGACCTCTGCCATATAGCTGGAATATTGCTGAGTGTGGTGTTAAACAACCAACCAACCATCCAAGCTAGGTGTCTGCCCACTCTCCGGGGGCGTGGTGGGCGAGTTGTCTAAGGCGCCAGGCTAGTGATCCAGCGAGGTTGAGGTGTCGGGATCGAGCCCACCTGTGACCGGTTGTAAAAACCTTGGGATCAACTTTGTGTGCCGACTCTTTCAGTGTTGTCACAACCCCTAGTGTACAGTACACAATCCTGTGCACTTAAAAGAACCCGCGAATCCGTTGGTATATGACCAGATGGTGGCCACATGAATATGTGCAAACACCTAGTTGCGGGTGCAGCAACGTGCAGTAAACTTGAATAAAGTACTGTGACTATGTGTCCCAGTCCAACAAGCTGTGAATGGGTACCTCGTTATGATGAGAAAGCCATAATAACTCGGTGCGCTTAGTGGCTGCAAGAGTTGTATACTCCCCAGGGGAGTTGAGATTGATAATACAATGTGCCGTTGAGATTGACATCCAATGATCGAGGGAAAATATACCAGCGCCTTGAGCATGCACTAGTTGCCTGGATATGTGTGCTATATAAATATCCTATAATAATAATAATAATAATAATAATAATAATAACAATAATATTCCTTCTGTATGTGGCTGTCTGTAAATATTGGAGTCTGGTCCAGACAATCCAGGGGTTGACATCTTGAGCCTCAATTTACACAACTGGGATACGGTGACATGCATCACCCCAATCAGCAAGTCTGACTACCCAATCCCGTTAGTTGCCTCTCAACAAGCATAGGAGATCTCCTCCCTCAGTCGTCTTCTTTATTATACTTCCACAGTGTTCCACGGCTACTTCTTGTCCCTTCATCAGATGATTTGGGATGCTCCTTGTGATCAAACTCACTCATTCATAGCATGAATTTGTAATAAATGGCGATGTCACAGGTATGAGATGTGTTGATTATGAGGTACATGTGGCAGTATCAGGGGTACAGTGTTTTAAGAGTTGAACAGATTTATATTCCTGGGACCATATCCACAAACCTTCATAGGTCTATGCTATTTGTAAGGCTATGATAAAATATGGAGTTGCGATAGGTCGTAACATTATGAACACTTGTGGATCAGGACCCTGAAAACTCAAGATGGAGAACTGGACAAGAGCTGTACTGTACAGCTTGTACACCCTGAACACCTTCTTATGGCACATACAACTTTATCATTTAGACTTTACACAGACATGGTACTTATCAAGTACCGTACAGTATATGTGCTTTACCATTGGATCAATTTAAATAAGTCTTCCAGTTGGCCATCATGAGACAAATGACTTCATTTTAGACATTGTAACATCATTTCCAGCATTGTGACATCATTTTAAGCATTGTGACATCATTCCAAACATTATGACATCATTTCCAGTATTGTGACATCATTTTAAGCATTGTGACATCATTTCATGCATTGTGACATCATTTCAATCATTATGACATCTGTTCAGGCATTGTGACATCATTTCAAGCATTGTGACATCATTCCAAACATTATGACATCATTTCAACATTTGGACATCATATATCCCTAGTGCCTGTCAGCCAACTTTAGTTTTTGCAAGCAGACTCTGACCACACCAATTCTGTAATTAGGAATGATAATTATGCTGTCGGAACTGACCTGCACATACTCTGAAGACATTGATTGATGTGCTCGTTGTCCTGTTTGTCTGATCCAGTGACCTGGCCCTGTGATCTAGCTGTACGTACTACATCATACATAAAACCTATTGACCAGCTCATACTCTGCCTTCCTTCCTCATCTCCGCTTCCCCACGGGAGATTCCAGAGAAGAATGCACCCTTTGTACATCATGCTTGATATAGGTGGAAAATAATTAGTGGAATAGTTGCCAAGATTGGAAACTTACAGTGCCTTGAAGGGTTACTTCCAGGAAAGATTAATGCTTAATTAAAATAATGACAGATTTTGTGGCATTTCACTGGCTAACCTGGCAAATTTTGCTTTGTTCATACATCATACACTGAAAGTATATAGTCTACATCACACCAATCACACATACGCACCTACCACACCCCGACAGCGTCACACCAGTACATTGTTCTGTGCCATGTAACTACAGCATCCCACCAATATATAGTCTACATCACACCGATCACACATACACACCTACCACACCCCTACAGCGTCACACCAGTACATTGTTCTGTGACATGTATCTACAGGATCCCACCAATACATAGTCTGTCTCTCAGTCCCTGAACCACATTATTTTCCCTACTGCCTAGCCCTCCTTGCAATGCTAAAGCCCTAAATGAAGCAAGTCTAGATTTCCTCAGGTTCAGGGAGTAGATTTCGAAGCTCTCTTATCGCTAAGATAGTCGTTAGTTAATGTTAATGTATGGCACTTACAACTATCATAGCGTTAAGAGAGCTTCGAAAATCTAGGCCCAGGTTCTGAATCTCCCTTCATTCTGAGGGTACTTTTCAATTAAAATGGGTTTATTTGTTACTATTAAAATTATATATATTTAGAGTCTAACCAATACATTGCTCTGTGTTACAGCTTGAGCTGATGGAGCAGCAGCTGGCGGCCATGAACTGGAAGCCCTGTGACCTGGAAAAGCGGGTGCAGGATCTGGAGAGAGAGCTACAAGACAAAGACAAACGACTGCGGGCCATGCAACACCATCTGGAGGAGCAGGTAGGACTACATGGTTTGTCTTGTAGACTAGAGGACATGGGTTGTGTTGTAGACTAGAGGACATGGGTTGTGTTGTAGACTAGAGGACATGTGGGTGTACAGGACATGGGTTGTGTTGTAGACTAGAGGACATGGGTTGTGTTGTAGACTAGAGGACATGGGTTGTGTTGTAGACTAGAGGACATGGGTTGTGTTGTAGACTAGAGGACATGTGGGTGTACAGGACATGGGTTGTGTTGTAGACTAGAGGACATGGGCTGTGTTGTAGACTAGAGGACATGGGTTGTGTTGTAGACTAGAGGACATGTGGGTCTAGAGGACATGGGTTGTGTTGTAGACTAGAGGACATGTGGGTCTAGAGGACATGGGTTGTGTTGTAGACTATAGGACATGTGGGTCTAGAGGACATGGGTTGTGTTGTAGACTAGAGGACATGTGGGTCTAGAGGACATGGGTTGTGTTGTAGACTAGAGGACATGTGGGTCTAGAGGACATGGGTTGTGTTGTAGACTAGAGGACATGTGGGTCTAGAGGACAAGGGTTGTGTTGTAGACTAGAGGACATGTGGGTCTAGAGGACATGGGTTGTGTTGTAGACTAGAGGACATGTGGGTGTACAGGACATGGGTTGTATTGTTGACTAGAGGACATGTGGGTCTAGAGGACATGGGTTGTATTGTAGACTAGAGGACATGGGTTGTGTTGTAGACTAGAGGACATGTGGGTGTACAGGACATGGGTTGTATTGTTGACTAGAGGACATGCCAGCCTAAAGGACATGGGTTGTATTGTAGACTAGAGGACATGTGAGCCTTAAGGACAAGGGTTGTGTTGTAGACAAGAGGACATGTGAGCCTAAAGGACAAGGGTTGTATTGTAGACTAGAGGACATGTGAGCCTTAAGGACAAGGGTTATGTTGTAGACCAGAGGACATGTGAGCCTAAAGGACAAGGGTTGTATTGTAGACTAGAGGACATGGGCTTAAAGGACAAGGGTTGTCTTGTAGACCAGAGGTCTTCAGGACATGGGTAGAGCTTTAATGAATATACACTGTCAGTAAGAAGACAGTACATTTATCAAGAAATGCTGGTGATGTGATTCTGGAGATTGGTTTGCAGTACTTTTAGTTGATGAAACTGTGTTAGGCCCTACATATTCAGTATATGAATTAAAGTATTGTATTAAGCACTGCTTGTCGAGAAACTGGCATGTTTATGAGAAGGGTACAGACACAGATAAACCTCAACAAGAATAGCGTTCAGCCAACACTTACAAATGGTCATTCCCCTGAGATACAAGGTACGCCTGTAATTATGTTATCAAATAAAGGCTGTCAAGCTGCAAGAAATGAACAACTAACTCCCAAGAGAATTCCACTCCAATGTACGTTGTCCTATCAGACCCTTATATTCCAAGCTGTCCAGCCTCCTGATTCCCTCTTCCAGCAGTCACTGGTATCTGTCTGCACCTAACTTCAAAGAGGCCCAACACTAGTAACGATCTCACCTCCACAGATAGTTCTAGTTACCATCTTGTCAGCACTGATTGTGTTGTTGGCGCCAGATTCTTAATTACCCCCTGTCTTGCGGTGAGGAAACTTGTGTATCGGCTGAGACTACAGGAGCTAAGATCAACACTACCTGTAAACACAGGGGAGCACCACACACAGTATTGAAAGTGGAACTCTCTGATCATTGGGGTTACAGAGAGAAGCTTAAGACCTTGTGAATAGAACACACAGTTAGCCTGCAGGAATCTCCAGCTTGTACTGGATAGTGGAGACTGTCTCTGATCTTAGATGATTGTAGTCCTCTGTTGTACTGTGGCTATGTTAAAACTCAGGCAGTGCTGTTGGAAAGGGAGGTTGTGTTTTCAGGTCTAAGTAGGTCTCTGACTTGTCTCCTGTAGACATATGTCTCTTTTGATAGAGTGTGTGTCTCCTGTGAATTTAGGTCAGTGTTGCAGAAATGGTGTGTCTCCTATGGATGTTGGTCTCAGTTTGCAGAGAGTGTGTCTCCTGTAGGTCTCTGTTGTAGAAAGGGTGTGTCTCCTGTGGATGTAGGTTTCAGTTGACAGATTGTGTGTCTCCTGTAGGTGTCTGTTGTAGAAAGGGTGTGTCTCCTGTAGGTCTCTGTTGTAGAGAGTGTGTGTCTCCTGTAGGTCTCTGTTGTAGAAAGAGTTTCAGTGTGTGTCTCCTGTAGGTCTCTGTTGTAGAAAGGATGTGTCTCCTGTGTCTCTGTAGAGAGTGGATGTAGGTTTCAGTTGACAGATTGTGTGTCTCCTGTAGGTGTCTGTTGTAGAAAGGGTGTGTCTCCTGTAGGTCTCTGTTGTAGAGAGTGTGTGTCTCCTGTAGGTCTCTGTTGTAGAAAGGGTGTGTCTCCTGTGGATGTAGGTTTCAGTTGACAGATTGTGTGTCTCCTGTAGGTGTCTGTTGTAGAAAGGGTGTGTCTCCTGTAGGTCTCTGTTGTAGAGAGTGTGTGTCTCCTGTAGGTCTCTGTTGTAGAAAGGGTGTGTCTCCTGTGTCTCCTGTGGATGTAGGTTTCAGTTGACAGATTGTGTGTCTCCTGTAGGTCTCTGTTGTAGAAAGGGTGTGTCTCTGTAGGTCTCTGTTGTAGAAAGGGTGTGTCTCCTGTAGGTCTCTGTTGTAGAGAGTGTGTGTCTCCTGTAGGTCTCTGTTGTAGAAAGGGTGTGTCTCCTGTGGATGTAGGTTTCAGTTGACAGATTGTGTGTCTCCTGTAGGTGTCTGTTGTAGAAAGGGTGTGTCTCCTGTGGATGTAGTCTGTTGTATGTGCCTGCAGCGGCTATCACTATAGCAATGGAGCTAAGCAAACCCTTAAAATACCTAGAAACAGTATTGCACATGAAACAGTGAATTGAAGGTACGAAGGGGAGGAAGAACAAACATTTGGCAAGTTGAACTGTTGAACAAGTAACATTGGATTGCAGTGAGTCCAAAAGAAAGTCCCTGACACCAAGACAAGATCGTTTCATTATATTCATTGCAATTATATAATGCAAAAGATTCAAATTTTCCATCAACAGATAATTCTGAAAAATAATAGGAAGGTGAATTTCAGCATTTGCCCTAAAAAACTGGCTCTATGCAGACTTCCTGAAAGCAAGCTGCCCATGAAGGGTACAACCCTTATCCTTACAAAACAGACCATGGCAACAAACTTTGGGATGGCCAAGAGAAAACCAAAGATCAAGTCTGCACCAGTGTATTGACACCATGTGTACAGACGAGTCAAGATTTTGTCTCGATTACAGATGGCAATGTAGTGGCAATGGGTATGCCAGGGCAACACTTCTTGACCATGATAGTAATGGGGGCAGTACTGCCATGGTGTGGGGTACTGCTGATTTGGTTATTGTGAATAGACTTGCCAGCACTATCAGTTGTCATTGTTTTTATTCGCTAGAATTATCAGCTCAAGACTTGAACTGTGAGATGACAATACCAGACCGTACCATCGTGCCAAGGTCATCATAGATTATCTCCAATAAGAAAACGTGCAGATATTGGATAGGGTCACTGGGTTCAGTGACAAGTCCCCAATGCAGCATGTACAAGATGTTCTCCAGTGGACAGTGTACCCAACGTCCATCAACATGGACCAGCAGTCATTAAAGATGCAAGAGGCAGTGGGGTAGCCTAGTGGTTAAAGCGTTCGCTTGTCACGACAAAGACCCAGGTTCATTTCCTCACATGGGAAATATGTTTGAAGCCCATTTTCCAGTGGTCCCCACCATGATATTGCTGGAATATTGCTAAAGGCGGCGTTAAACCAAACTCACTCACTCACTCATTAAAGATGTTCTTTTGGTAGAATGGCGGCCAATACTAACGTGAGTTAATCAACCAAAGTCCATCAAGATGTCATGCATGATGGACTCGCCAAATATTTATCTTTATACCTGAAGTTAATTTTACATACACTTATTGCCATTCCACCTTAACTGTAGTTTCCCTTATATCCTGTTGGGAATTTATAAAGTAAAGAAAGAGATTGACTATGTGACCAGAGTTTATGCTTTAGTCAATCTTACTAATGGATATTATTTCACCTGGGTGATTCTCCTTCAAGTGCCAGTAAGTGACAGGGCTTCCTAAACATGTTTCCAAGCTGCTAAACGATTTTCACTCGCTTTAATAATCATTGACTTATCTTTGATCTATTCATTAAGACGTGGACAAAGTAGCTCGTTAATTATTAGTCTTTCTTTAAGATCGTCACTCACTTATCATCTTCAAACAATGTACGTGGGTTCGTCATGCCCCAACCCGTTTCTCGATACTTGAAACAGATTACATGCTAATTTCATAGACGCCAATAATGACAACGAAATCTATAACACCCTTGGAAGGGGCACTAATTTCATTCATAACATTAACTTTTTCATGTTCTTAATTTCAACATGGCCATTGGAAATTGACAACCCACTGAGCTGACATGACCTAAAAATTGTTAACAACAAGTAATGAGCCCTTTACCAAGGGCAGATAAGCAAGCACAGGTTTTCTCTTTGATCTTCATCCCGCTTTACAAGTTAAATTCCTTCAACAAAGAATTCAGGTTTTTTCAGGCTACATTCCAAGCATATGTTGTGGAATCTGTCCGAGGTGGAATTACCTCCGACAGAATGATTAGTGCTTTAGAAAATGTTAGCCTTGCATTCTTACTGGTGCCCTGACATTGTGTAAACAGAGCAGCATTATCAAAGATAAACTTGATTGGTTCTGGGGATGGGTGATAGAGAAAGTCGGAGGAAAGATAGTTTCAAAGAAACAATTAGAGTCTGCACTTGATGTTTATGTAAGAATGAATTAAGTCAAGTAAGTAAATTAGTTGGAACAAAGATAATCAGCCTTCACCTTGACATGATGCTAAAGTATATACTTCAGCTGGGCAGTGCAACCTGAGCCATGTTGGTTAGGCTGAGATGGGAAACTTGGGTATACGGTTGCATGGGTCCCAAGTAGGTTAGTCACATGATAT